AAGACACTGGAGAAAAGGGCAAGAGAAGAATGACAGAGAAAGGGAGAGAAGAAAGGAAGAAAGTGGGAAGCCCGTGGGGCAGCAGATGGAGGTGGATCTAGGAGGTGGCCGAGGGAATCCCCAAGGGAGCCTGCACTGCGGAGCAGTGACCAAGGGATCCAGGGAACGGGAGGGACAAGTGGGACATGGAGTAGGTCCGTGGGAGATGTTGGGTGGTACGGATGTCAGAGTGAGCCTGCAGTGCCTAAGCTCCAGAGACTTTTATCAAGATTTCCACAAGAAGGGAAGATTTTCATTTAAGCCCCAGAGTCTGGAATTTTGGAAGTATGGGAGAAACTCATTAAGTTCTTGCTCCTGAGGCTGCAGAAGGGAAAATTTGAAGAGGTATTTGGAGACTGCCCTGCAGGTTTCATGAAGCCAAAAACTAATAACAAGATCCCCAAATGTGTTTTATTTATAAATTCTCATTATTTTTATGCCAGTCTCATGGTGTGGAGGCTGGGGCACTGAGTCAGGGTTTAGAAGGTCTGGTGTTGGGAATAAAAGACTAAAATTAGTGTCAGGGTTGTAGGTGCGTGTAATAAAAAAGGAAATCATGGAAGAACTGTAGATTTTTCTACAAAAAGCAAAAAAAAGTGAGAGAGATGAAGATAAATGAAAAAAGCAGTGATTCAGGCTCAGCCATGTAGTCCAACACCAGTGTGCTGCGAAATGTCAAACCCCAGTGGTGGCAACGCTCTGCTGGCGTAGACACCCCCCCCCGAGCCTCAGCAGCCCTCCCACCCCCACCTCCAAGGTGTCTGTTGGGACCTGCCCCGAGACTCTCAGCTGAGCTCCTCCTTTGCAGCTTTCACCAGGGAGATTTTCCCCCTCCCCGCCTTGGACCAGCTTGGCCCTTCACCAGAGCTCGGCCCTCTGGGTTCTCAGCGGGTACCGGGCGTGGGGACGTGGGCTCTCTGCGCATTACCCACGCTGATGTGTGGAAATAGAGGTGACATGAATCTTTCTATTTAGCTGCACGTATACTACATACGTGGTGCTGGTAGCCAGAATGCACACCAGTTCATTCCATACATCTTGCAATAAAGAACATTTCGTTTAGACTTCATCCGTGCCTTGACCGCTAATCCATTTCTGCTGAAATGGCCAATATTTCAGACTTCCAGGCTGCCATGTAGCTGAAGAGAGGGCGAACAAGAGATGTTTGCTTCCTCGCACAAACACGGGTATGCTAAAATATGGGCCAGAGAACTACACTGCTCTGAGCTTCAGCGATATTTCATCCCAGATTGGTGACAGATTTAAACTTTGCCATCTGGACTCGCAGAACGTACGATATCTCATGGAAAGCAGGGAATCCAGGTTTGCAGTGAGCCGTTGTTACAGCTTCCCTAACCATCATAAATTCTTCTAAATGTTAGACTTCAAAAATCACAACACTATAATTTACAGAAATGCTGCATTAAACACATAAGATTATTTTTTCAAAGGTTTGGTTTTACTTTGCTTCACTCCAAGTCAGTATGAGAGGGTCAAGGGGGGGGAAGGGAAGGGAAGGGAAGGGTAATTTTGAGAAGAGAGGAGGCGAAAA